CCCGGCCCCCGCCGCCATGGGCCCCCCGCGCCCGCGCCCCGGAGCTGGCTGCCCGGCGCCCGCCCGCGGCCGGCTCGGCCTCCGCTCCCCGCGGCCCTCACCCCATCCCTCCAGCCGCGCTCTGCCTCCGCCGCCGCCGCGCCCGCCGGCTCCCCGGCTCGCTCTCGCTCTCGCTCTCTCTCGTCCTGCCCGCTCCCCGCGCGCTCTCCCTTTCTGCTCTCCCCTCCACTTTCTCGCTCGCTCCCGCCCGCTCCCGCTCCCTCTCCCTCCCTCTCTCCCCTGGCTGCGCTTCTCTTCCCTCTCTCCCACTGCTGTTCTCTCCGTCTGTCTCTCCCACCCCCAATTTTCTCCTCCCCTCCGCTTCTTCCCCCTCCTCTTCTCTCCCTCTCCGGAATCCGGCTGCTTCTACCGCAGAAATCCCCGCCGGGGCGCGCACACTCTCTCACACGCCGAGAGAACCGGCCTGAAGGCTCCGGTGCGGGGTGATTGGCTCCTTGCAGCTCCTCCGCCCCTCCAGCCCTCCCCTGTGTGCGCCCCAGACAGGCTGAGTCCAGGAAGTCTGTCTGAGAGAAGGGACGGATGCCTGGGCACCTCCACGCCTCAGTGCCACCTGCCCCAGCCTGAGCACCAGCCCCGTCAGACCTCCACACGGAGGTCCTGCGCATCAGTGCCCGAGATGCTTCCCGGGGCCGGTGTGCTCCTCCCTCTGCAGGCTGAGCTGGGGGAACTCAGGGAGGCTCCTTTGGCTGAGAGCCGAAGCAACCCACATTTCTCTGTCCTGCGTGACCAATGCACCTGCCGTGCTCCTGGGGGCGCTCAGTTTGCCAGGTCCCCTCCCCATCGCCTTTCAGCCAGAGCTTCTCAAGTCTGCTGAGGGGATGCTGCAACTCACTGTGACAACCTCTGGGCATCCCCCTCAGCCAGGAGAGGCCTTTATTTGACCCTGAGCCCTCGCAGTGGGCCAGCTTGTCTGTCCACAGACAGCCCCAGTAGAGCCGTGGTGTGGCTCAGCATCTCCAGCCCGAGATCCAGCTGCTGCCATCTGTCAGCCACACATACCATCTGCCCTGGGTCTGGTGAGACAGCAAGTTCCAGTTCTTGAAGGACCTGGATGGCATAATGTGCCGAAGCTCTTCAGAGAAGGGGGAGGGCGGTGGGTGGTCTGGCTTGGTGGCAGCCTCAGGGACTCTGGGCATGCAAGGTATAAGCCTACCCTCAGGACGGTGGCCCTTCTGTCCTTTTACCAAGGCCCTGCTGGGAAGGTGTGTGGATCTGAGCTGCCCGCCCCCACCATGAGAGGATAACTGAACACTTACCAGAGCACCCCTGCCATCCCAGGACCCTGCGCAAGTCACTGAACTTTGTCAAGCCTCGGTTTCCTTCTTTACCTTTCAGAGCTCTGGTGAACATTAACTACCGTGGTGCGTGTGCAGAGCCTTGCCTCCCTGGGGAAGAAACCCACCTAGTGGCAGCAGTCTCCACATCACTTGGCCCCCTCGCGGGGCCCACAGAATTCAGGGTTGGATACATGACTTCATTAGATTCTTGGTGTGGGACATCAGAGTGAGATGTTTACCTGTGCGTCTCCCCTGCTCCCAAAGACTGACCCCACAAACAGCCTCTGGCATGAGGTGGGTGTGTGCGCACTGCTGGAGAGTAAATGTGTCAAGGAATACATTTCTGGGGGGCACCATTGAGTCCATGATTCTCACACGTTGGTGATTCTCAGACTCACCTGATAAACTTGGGGTACTGGTTAAAAATTGAGATTCCTGGGTTATACTTGAGGTTTCCAAATCAACAGGTCTGGGCTCTGCATGGTCTGTGGGCTCCTTAGGTAACTCCAATGAGGGTGATCTGGGAGGATGCCCGAGGAACACGCTCAATGAGAAGTGGGCTCGAGGCCGGCTGGAGGTTCACCTGGAGGTCCGCTCAGCACCCTGGACACAGCCTCCAACAACGGCTTGACGTTCTGGCCTGGAGACACACGCTGAAGGATCACCAGTGTGTATAGTGAGCACAAGGTCAAGGGCTAACTAAACCCTCATAGCACTTCGGCATTTACAAAACACATGCACACATTATCACACTGTATTTAATCCCTGCAACAATGACAAGAAAAGGACACTGAAGCTCAAAGAGCATGCATGGGCGAGTTGGTAAGGGAGGAAGCAGGTGTCAGTAGCTCCCTAGATTGGCCCTTTCTGCACACTCCAAAAGGCTTCCGTCGCCTTCTCAAGCAGGAGTCCTTGGTCGGGAACTTGAAAGTATCTCAACTTAGCAACATTAAAATGATGTCAGTGACCATGTGACCAGGTCTAAGAGCAATAAGCCAATGAACGTGCACACATGTGCACATGCAAGCACACACACACACACACACGTACACACATCATTTTGAAGATCATTTGCTTTCTGAATTTGTAAAGGCAACATTGCAAGGTTAGAATGCCAGAAAGACGCTCAGAATACTGTAACTCGGTTTTCTAAAGAACAAAGTTCATTTTCTTCTGGTTGTGAACGATATTTCCTGCTCCTAGTGGGGCTGGAGGAGGATTGGTCTCCCTGGTGACCAGGTACCCAGCCTCTGTGGCTTCAGCCAAGCTGGGCCTCCCTGCATGCAGGTCCCAGCAGAGCCCCAGCATCAACAGTAAGGTCATAGTCACCAAGGAAGGGAGATACCTGTTCCTGCCCAGGCCTGGATGCTGGGTCCCCATTGCCTCTTGTGAGTGAACTCAAGCAGCTGGCACATCTGATTGGGAGACATGAGCGGTCAGCGCTTGGAGCCTGTCCTCAGGGGGATACACTGTGACCAGATCTGTATGTCTGCATACTTCTCTGAGCTGGAGAGAAGTGATGGGATGTTCATGACAGTGTTAACACGAGTTATTAATTGCTGTAACTGGCCCCATTGGCGTGCTCAAAAACAGAACCGAGTCTCATCCTTTCAGATCGCTGAATACAGTTCCACAGAGAGACAGGCGCATGTGCCCATGGATAAGAATCATGGCCACACCCCTCCAGTGTAAATATCATGAGTCTGTCTTGGCAAATGAAGGAGCCAAGACTGAGAAAAACCCACAATGTGTTCAAGGTCACTCCAGGTGGGCATCAATAGGTAGGGCAGAGTCAATTAGGATGGCAGAGCCAGGATTAGAATCCTTATCTACTGGACATTAAAACCCGTGTTCTTTCCAATTGTGATACTTTATTTATCACACACCATTTGTCCCATGTGAAAGAAAATTTTAAAAATATGTCACATACGTGCTGGAATACACACACACACACACACACACACACATACACACACACACACACACCATATATACTCATAATCAGAGGTGGTCCCTTCCATGGTTATCTTTAAAAAGAGGTGAAAGATTTATATAAGCTGAACAGAAACTGCAATGTCACCAGTGCTCGGAGAGAGGTCTCACTGAAGTCCATGGCCACAGAGAACCCTTCCCTTTAGGGAATCAGAGGAGTCTGGATTTTTGCAAGTGGAGGAGGGCCCAGCAGCTGAGAGGAGGATGTTACTTGAGCAAATGCCTAGAGGCCAAGTCTGGTGCATATTTGTGGTTCTGAAGAGAAGATGGGCCTATAGAATAGATGGAAAGAAAGGTGGTGGCAAACCCTGGATGTCAGCCCAATGCCAGGCTGCTGACAGAAAGGTCAGTCCCTTTCAGATAATGACTTCCAGGACCTGGAGCATCCAGCCATCCTGGGGATACTTCCCTGCCAGCTTTCCACCTGAGCCCACCAGCAGATCTCCATCTTCACACCAGTTCCATACCTGCTAATTCACGTGACCCTATAGAACCTTGGGGATTCTAAGAGATAAGGAACAGATAAGGAAATAAATCCTAGAGGTAACATTCCTTGCCTAGGAGCATGTGGCTGGTAAGTGGCAGACCAGGGCTTGGAACCCCAGATCCTGATTGACTATCTAGAGCCCTCTCAGCTGCCGGCTTCTGCCCAGTCCCAGAGTGGTACCTCTGTGGTGACACCTTTCCAGGCAGGCTGCTTATGCATACTCCCTGGCCCAGGCCTTCAAGATGGTTAAGCAGAAACAATTGAACAGTTTTTCCAACAGGACCCTCAGGGCTCTGGCTTACTTGCCTATTAGCCGGCAGGAGAGGAACTGGCTGTTTGGACAGGGTCTTTGCTGCTCCTGGATCTGCATGGCTGTCCCCGACCCCCACAGACCAGGCATAGAAGGAAGTGGGCTCAGCAGAAATAAGAGGAAGCTTACTGCCTAGCAGTCTTAGCTGGTGATCTCCTGGGAGAGATGGGCTACCTCTGTCTGATGGGACTCATGATGCTAAGAACATTTATCAAAGTTGGTGATGATCCAGACATTCTGCCTACCTAATCTCATTTGATCTTCACAGCAACCCTATCTGAGAGAAGCTGAGGAAACTGAGGCTTAAAAAGCTTATCAATGTACCCAAGGTGTCAGTTAAGGAGGAAAGGGATGTGGACCCTGTTCATATCATC